TGAGGTCTCCATTCAGTAGGGGGTGATGCTTAATCACCTGATGGGATGTAACTATTTCTTAAAGGTGACAATACTTCTGCATTTTGGTTTGCATTATAGAGTAGAACTGGAAATACTTCTTTATTTGATGCCAGATTGTAAGAGGGCTATAAAACACACACTTCCAAGCACTCCCAGCAGAGGATCTGAAATAAGTCCTTCAGCAACAGTGCATTAATGAAAAATTCTGGCTTCTTTCAGAAAAGATTTTTACAAACTAGATCAAACTGCATGGAGGTGGTGGCAATTACACATTAATAATAATGAAATTCTATAGACAGGTAGTATCTGTGGAACACAGGATATCCATCTAGATATTTATACTGAATATAATGAATATTGATATTTTACATGATATTTCCACACAATAGGCTTATAAGCAGTCTTATTCTTTATTTCAACTCTAACTAACAGACAACATTAAAGAACAACAATTGTTTCCTTCAAGCCAACCTGTTTCTCTTCTCTCCTTGCTGACAAAAACTGCTTGTGAAAAAAATCAAATCAAACCCTGTCCTCTAAGCAGCATCCAAACCACTCTGTGGGCAGATATTGTTACATTGAGCAAGGGGTTTGTGCCATTGTTTCTGAGCCAAAAAGACACCTTAACACCAAAAAAATGGGTACTATCCCCCTTCAGCAAGTTCTTGGGAATCATGACAATATCTAAACCACAGCCTGGAATTTTCCCCCAAATCAAAATACTCCAGAGATCAATGTGCTTCTGCTTTCTCACAGCCAGAGTGGCTGAAGCTGATGAATGTGTCCAATTATGGATCCATTATGTGAAAACCTGATGTGTGAGTAGGTCTATCCTGTGTCTTTTACTCAGACTGACAAATGAACAAACAAATTGTTGTGAGTTCAAAATTTGGTTTAATAGCAATAAATCCACTCTAGTAAAGGCAAAGGTGCATAGAACGAAAACCCTTTTCTTTTTTTCACATTAGGTTGAAAACCAGCCTGTTTGTTATATTGTATTTTGACTGAAGCCATTAAAATGGCATTTCAACAAGCTGAGTCACCTTATATTAGCAGAAAAAAATAGATAAAACACATACATGAAGAAGAAATAAACCTATTCCTACTGTAAGAAACCATCTCAGGAAATGGTATGGCAGGAACTGACCTTCTTTTAAAAGGAAAAAAACAAAATCCACTAACTTTTCACAGGTAAAAGGTCTCATTTCCTTCTACAATGTTTGTGTTTTTCAAAATACTATCAGCAGGTGCACCAGATTTCAAAAACCTCTTGTCCTTCATCACATATAATTGTGCTGCATATTATATTAAGAAATACAAGCAGAGGAATGTAAGTGATGGGAGTTCAATTAAAACCAGCATAATATCTTGTTGCATAGAAAATGATTCTGCAACTGAAACAGGTTCTAATGAGAGAAAAAAGGAATACATTTTCACATATTTTTAATTACATAGAACTACCTCAAACATGATTTTTAATAATATACTCCATTAGGTTAACATCATATTTAAAGAAAGTGCATTTTCTGATTTCATTTCAAGTCTGATTTTGAGCAATTATTGTGTCATTGTTCTGCAGTAGAAAGGTTGAATTCATTTACTGTGTGGTTATGCTAGTTATGATTGATGTCGCTTCTCCAAATGATAAACCAATCACCCCAATGATGTAATGTCATTTTAAGAGTGCTATAATCACATTTATCTCAAACTGGGAGTTCTGATGAGTTCTAACAAAGATTTATTGTAGATTAAAGGCCTTCATAATATCAACAATAGGTTGCTCATTTGATAGAATATTTGATTAGGTAATTTTTTCAGGCAAATGATTTTTTCCATATATATTAAGCGTGGCTCTTGTGAAGGGCACAGGGCAGCACACATGGATGAGTGGCTCCTCATATCCAAAAAGGTTAATCTTAAACCTGTTGAGGAGCCACCCTGTAATTACAGAGCTTGAAGCAAGAGAAGTATCCAATCAGACAAACAAGAGGAAACTTCTATAGCGTAATTAGTAGAAGACATTGCCAAATATTTAATATGCAGCATGTACTTTGAAGACTAGGATTGGAAAATTTAAAGAAGAAGCTAGAAAATGCTTGCAAAAATTTATGAAAGATTATCTTGGATCTAAGCCTTACATATAAGCATCTACAAATCTTCCTTTTTAACCCAAGCCCAAATTTAAGCAAAATATTTACATTTAATTACTGTCTCTCAAATGTCTATGTTGCTAAGTTTCCAAAGGAACTTAAAAAACAAAAAGCATGATTAACCTCTTCTTATCATGTAGATGGCAAAAGCCACTCTGAAAATCTTTCAAGGATAATGATAATCCACAAAAAGTAATAACTTTCTCCAATTTAATGTATAAGTCATAATCTGTTGTATTTTCTTACAAATTCTATAAAGAAACATTGTGATAACTAAAGAGAAAAAGTGACACCCCTAGGAAATGCTCATTAATTTCCAGAGGATGCATCAAGTCCAGAAGAACTCATGCTAGAGAACACTCTGCAGTGATCAAGCAATTTTGCATGTGTGTATGGGAAAAAATATAAAAAAAGGACATCTGTATCTTATACTCTGAAAATTAAAAGTCATTACATATTATATGGCTGTTTATTAAAGAAGCAAATGGGATATGTGGGGAAAAAAGTGTTAAAATGTAGCACGAACAAAGCAAAGCCAATCAGAGGATGCTGAAAATGTTCCTTGGGTCAGCCCACAGTAACAATTATCAAACACAAAGCTTTTAAGGATACAAAGAAACAGTGATTATGATTTAAAATGAAACATAAAGAGCTCTTCCATCAAATTTTCTGATGTTTTACTGCCACTTCCTTCATTTGGCTTTCTAAGAAAAGCCATGCTGGTTCCCTCAGTCCCAGCAGTGGCTGTAATTACCAAGTACTCAAGAATCCACCAGGTCTCCTTTTAGCTCACATTCCCTGACCTTGATTTTCTTCTCCTTATTTCATTCCTCTCCCATTTACTTTTCCCACTCCCCTTTAAAATCTCATCAACTGCTTGATCCACCACTCCCTTTAGACGAATTCTCTCACTCTTTATTCCTTTCTTCAGCTGTGAACTTTCCCTGTTCCTGAGCTCTGAGACAAGCAAGCATTCCTCCCTGCACAGGTAAGGATCCATCACCAACCCAGGAACCAGAGCAGCTTTTTCCACCATATCCCTTTACATTTCTCTGCCTTAAGGGCCCCTGTCATTTTATTGCCCCCTTACTTGGACTCACAGGTGCTTTTGTGATTTTCCACAAGCTGATCTCGTTCTTAGCACCCTGCCATCACCTATTTTCCTACCCCATCATCTTCTCTGAGTATTTTAATGTCCTGTGAAAATTCATTGGGAAGCTCCAGCTTCTGCACACCGTCTTTCAGATAACTGCTCACCATGCAGGAACCTTCCCTCTTACCCCATGTTAGGTGAAATGCTTTCTTGAAAGCATTTTCTGACAAATTGTGCTGAGACCTTTTGAAAACACGAAGACTCTTCAATCAGCTGGATCAGCCTTATTCAGAAATGGCTGAGCCCTGCAAAGGCCTGGAGTGTTTCTAAGGCATGAAACTACACTGACTCAAAGGTAAATCCCTTCCTGACCCCCTCCCCACTTCCACAGCCTCTGCAGAGTTGCCCATTACAGATTTTGAGACCTTCAGCTCCCAGATCACTCCCAATCTCTTGAAAGCCCCTCAAAAGTGCCACTGTATTTTCCATAACAATACACTCGAGGAGCAAGGAAGCACACTCAATTTGTGAATTATTATTTCTTTGTGCAATTACATTTTAACATTCCTGACCTGGGTTAAAGGATAATTCAGGATGGAAGGAGCCCCAGGAGGTGCCCAGTCCAGCACCCTGCCAAGCAAAGGCAGCTCTGAGGTCCGAGCAAGGAGCTCAGACTTTCAGCCAACGTGTTCTTGAAAAGCTCCAAGGACAGAGACTGGACAGGCTCCCAGGGACACCTCTTCTAACCAAAGCCTAGGGGAAAATTTATCCCTAATATCCACTTGGAATGTTGTGTCTCAAATTCAGCTCCCTGCTCACCCCCCAGCCCCTGTTAAAGGGGGGTGTTCAGGTGTGCTGTGTGCACCCCACAGTCCCAACCTCACAACCCCCAGTGCTGCTCAGAGCTGCCTCCTCACAGCACAGACCAGAAACTGCACAGAAAACCTATTGTGTTCAGTTAAATAACATACAACATATCTATGTTAAAAAAAAAAAAGGTGCTAGAGTAGCTTCTTTTGATTTTTTGGTATTTCTGATAAGGGATTGCATCTTCACTCCTCAGTTTGTGGCTGTCAAAATGAAAAGTGAGCACCTACTAATAAAAATTAAAATAAAAAAAATGAAAAGAGGAAAAAAAGAAGAAAGAAAACCCTAGGCACTACAGATTCCGTGACTGATAGAGCTGCAAATGTTTTAAAACAGTGGCCTGAAAGACAAGAATTAATTTGCTGAAAAATAGCAGATCTTAGTTAAATGTGACATTGTAAGTATAGAATCAGACAGATTCAGAAACAAGAACAGACACAGACTGGCAGAAGCCACATGCATTTTAAGATACAAAACCTCATCACCAAATGATATATTAGATTAGCCCATGCAGAACAAAGAACCATTGTGTGTACATTTCTCTCCTACCAGATGCAAGAAGGAGCAGGAAACTTACTTTGAAAAATAAATCCCTCTGATGACAAGAATTCAATAATATTTTTTACACAGAATCTACCATACTTCAAACTAAAAATCTCTCTATAGTAAAATGAAGGAAAACCATATATGATGAATTGTGTTTCCAGGAATTTTCCATTAAATAAACCAGTAAGATTTTCATTGCCCCATTTCCATAGATGCTCTCAATTTTCTGCTGATGCAAGAACACATTTGCACATTAAAAAAGAATGCATAAAACTGGCACAAACATGTCACAAACAAACTCCATATGTTTGCAATTTTCTTACCACTGCTGGAAGCCTGCTGTGGCCCTGAACACGCTCTCAGCAGATATGAATTAGGAGAGAACTCCTCATCAGGGTTGGTGTCCATGATTTGATGGGACGTGTTGCTGTCTAGCAATGGCATCTGGCAGCTAACTGGTGGAGGATTATGAGAACTGGGCAGCTGAGCAGATGGGAGAAGGCTAGACGAGGATGTAGGTGGAATGGGACGACCTGGGAAAGAGGACAGAGGGATCAAAGATCAGCCATGAATGTAATGAGAAACCCCCCAGCCAAGTAATTGCACTGTAACTGTCCATGGTTACACTCAATTACTGCCATGAACAGCCCCTCAATCTCCCCACTGGTACCAACCTGTCCCTTTCTATCACAGCTCTTGAAATTGCATCACATCTGTAAATCTCTTAAAATAATAGTACAGGGCTGATTGGTTTTTTAAAATTTTTTAACCAGGAAAATTGCTTTAGCACAGAAATCTCTCAGAAACATGAAACAACCATACAAGGGCTTTCTTCAAGCCAAGTTTCTTCCTGTAATGCTGTGGATCTTCCCAGATCCCAGTGAGAGATGTGAGGGGACAGCAGGACTGAAAGGCAATTATTCCACTTTAGAGATGGGCTAAAGCTGGAATCTGGGCTGGCAGCTCTCAGCTCTGCTGTCCTTCCTCTCCCATTGCTTTCTTCACCAGAGCTGTAGGAGCAGAATTTCCTGCTCAGCCAGGTTAATTCCAACCCTGAAGCCCAGTCCTTAATGGGTATGAAATATCTCAGCCTCCAGCAACAATATGGTCTTGGTCACCTAAAGCAGTGATCAAGTCAACAACAAAAATGTTCATACTTATGTATCTTATTCTTTTGTGGACTCTCATAACTTTACATTAATCCATTCCATCAAATGCACACAGATGAAGACAGTTTTTTTTTTAACTTTTTTTTTCTTTCTTTTTTCTTTTTTTTTTTTGTTTGCCTTTTTTTTTTTTTTTTTTTTTTTTATGGCATTGCAAGTTTATCTAGTGCATTGAAGAAACTCTTCATGAATAATTTAAATGTAAGAAAATATGACCTTTGTGATACTGCCAAAGTCTGTAAGGCAGAGATCTGCTACAAATGTTAAAACACAGTAAAACTACATCAAAATGGTGTATCTTTAGTCCCATTATTCTTAAAGAAACAGTACCAGACAAAATACACACTGATTTTTCTCACTGGTTATACCTCCATTTCATTAAATGAAGGACCCCACACTTTATATGAATTACCCTAAGGTTTGTACCATTAGGTAAAAATACAGAATCACACGTGAAATTCCAAATGAGGGGGGGAAAAAAGCAGCAAAAAGAAAAGTTCCAGCTCCCACATATAAATTATATTTGGAATGCAGCAATCAGCCAAAGGCACATGTAGATACTGAAAATCATCAACTTTGCACTGCCTGGTACCAGTAAATAGCATGAAGTATTTTCTTCCCTTCAAAAACTTCTGAAATAAAATAAATATCATAACACAGGCAAGTGATGTTTATGATTATTTGTTATTACATCTTTAGCACGAGATAAATTGATAAGACTGAATGACCAAGTTATTATATGACAGAAATGGATTTAAGCCACTCCAGAGTAACTCCCATCTGCAATCTTTTATGCTACAGAAAATTCAATATGCATTGAGTATTTTCATTGTGGACTTCTATTTGTGAGGAAATAATTCTAATATTGATGATAGGAATAATTACTGTTATTATTCATGATTATGCTATTCTTATGAAATACTACCATGAATATCCTAAACATTCCAGGGAAGTGATTGAGCAAGACCAGCTTCTAATTATTTCTTTGCAATGTGTTGGAAAGAAGCAGAGAGGCTGAGGTTTGACACACCTCTGACAGGAACGTGACACTCGTGCCCACTGTGTGCATTTCATTTTCACATATTCTGGCTCTGCTTCAACGCTGTGAAGTTGAAAGAAGCAGCTTTATAAATTCTAAATCTGCATTGACTGCATGTATCATATGGAAATATGTTACTATACCATAAAACTGTTGGATGTGTGAGAGTATGAGAGGAAGGAAAAGATTTTTTTACTTTTGTGGAAACTACATATGGTATTTCAGGGCAATTTAGGTACATTTTTGCAGAATAAATCGAGAAATGAAAAAACTCCTCAAACCTTAAGAATTCTTTTGTCGGGAATGCTAATGACATTGTTACCATCATGAAATAATACAGCCCAAATCCCTGAAGAAAAGGCAAAATGTCTAATTACTACAGCTGTGTTTGTAATTGAGAGGAAACAATAGGTATGAAGCTGTTAAAATGTTAAAATGTTGCATCATTCTGGTGAGAAGTTGGCTCCTGAGGAAGGCTTGCCCACAATCACGTGCTAATGGCAAAACAGAGACATCTATGAGCCACAGAACCTACTGCCAATCCATCCTCTGGTTAGACTGCCTAATAAACAACCAAATTTAATTCAAACTTTTCTTTTGGTTGGGACATTCTTGGGCTATCAAGTTGATTTTTTTGTATCTACTAAACATCAAACTCCCACTATAGCCTTACCCTCGTTGGGGGATTCTTTAAAAACATCTCTCTCTCCATTCCCAGCCCCTGAGAAACACACAGGTTCTCTCAAGACACCCAGCCTTTTGTAAAATTTGGTAGCAAATGAATAAAAAAATTACTGAACAGGAACAGAAATACATCATTAAGCTTTTTTTTTGCCTTAAGAAAATAATCTAAGGGGTAACTATCTGCAGTACCACAGTCAGGTGGGCTTGTGAAAGTCCCAAAGAGTGGGAATGCAGTTAGGCTATAAAGAACATTTATTTGTTACTATACACTTGTAAGTAAGGAAAAAAGGGGTTTGATTCATACTTACATGAATATCTTGGTCAAATAAGCTCAATGTAACATTTAAAAGAACAGAATAAGCTTTGTAGGTTCTATACACCTGAGCTCCTTGTCAGACCCATTCATGTGTCTACAGATATCTCAACAGACATATTTTGAAACTTGCCAGCTCTTTAAAATATTCTAAATTTCCATTGCTTCTCAATGGGATTTGCAATACCCTAGTCTGTAAAAATACTGTGACATATGATAACATCATATTCTATTACACTGCTGTTTTCAAAAGTTAAATCATAACAGAAGTTCCTAAAATTTGTCTTCATATAGTAATACATTTAAGTTTTTCTGAATAAGTATTTATCTAGGTAAGCATTGACAGAATCCTATGTAATGGATATTTACAGTGACAGCAATAATGTAATTGTGTAACATAGTCAAAGAAACATAAACCAGATACAAATGCTAGAAAGGGAACCAGGCTTAAAGCTGATATATTACATTTTCAGTAGGGAATTGTATCAGTTCTTTTCCCAATATCTGTTCATATGCATGTTCATACTGCACATACTCATGCATGACAAAGACTTGTACAGATACTGAATACAGCATTTGTAAGGCATTTTTCAAAAAAGCAAGCAGCCAAGAAGAAAATACAAATTTCCTCTCCTCCCACCCCTTTCTCTTGTCATTTATCTTATCTTCCTTTTTAGAGGGAAAGAAGAAATGTGGTTACTCTTCATTCAGATTTGGGCTTCCACACTACACAGCACCTCAGTCTGCAAGGGCCTTCTTTACCCTCTTATCACTTCCATTTTCCATTTTCCTTTTAAATCAGTCTCATGTTTCTTCACCAGCCCAGGAATTTTTATGAAACCATTCCTCAATTACTGCTACACTTTAAATCCTTAAGGCTTAAAATCTGCTGTAGAACCTACATTCAGAAATCAGGCCATGCTCACAGCTGGTAATGTCTCAAGCCCAGACAGGGAAGAAGAGTCCTGTTCATCTCAATCACAATAACACATCGGGAAAAAAGATACTGCAGTTGCTATGAGCCTGAAAGACCACACCATCCCCAGAAGGACAAAAAAAAAAATACAAAGGAAAAAAGACTGCCTGCAATCACTCCCAGCATGAATATATATAAACAGGAGACACAATCAAAGAAGAGATGCAAGCTGCTCATTCAGTTACTGAAGGATATTTGAGATGCACTTTTCATACTCTCTGTCCTTCCTCCTCCTTTAAAAGACCTATAGAGTTTTGTGGATAAATAAAGCCCATGTGTGTGTAAAACCCTGGCCTCTATATTACACCATGGTGCATGACAGGAAACAGGAAACCAAAAAATCTCCCTGGATAACAGTTTTGAGCAGTAATCATGGATATATGCATTCCAAAATGTGTGTGCATATATTCAGATACTTTTTTTTGTATACTGAAGTATATTTACCTGCACAACTCTAGATAGACATGCACAATATCCGAAAACATACATTATTTTAACAGGCCTAAAGATGAATCCAGACTCCTTAAACAGTAATTTTGCCATTAATTTGGACAGGAGGGAAGATCACAACCTGTGTGTTGCCATCTCACACTCTTAAGCTGCTTATTTCAGTAAGTCCTGTCATTAGAAAGCATCTGAGTCCCAGGGGTGGTAAATACTGATCTCAATGCTTATTGTAGCTGTAATGGAATTCTCAAACTTTTTCCATTAGCAGAATCTCTCTTCTAAGATTAGACATGTGTAGCAAACATCTGTGTAGAATGTTCAACCCCGTGCATTTTCATCATGAATGTCATATACCTAAGCAGCATATATTCACTGATAACTTCCATTTATGACAGAAAATCTTCCCATATGTACAGTCTTTTATAAGCAAGACCAGCTTTCAAAACTTTAAACAGCTGTTAATCTTCACAATCGAGGGGTTATGATGTAACTGTTCTATTCTTCTCTAAGGATACCTGCCAGTCAAGCAGCCAATAAACATAAATGACCTGTAATAGCTAAATTAGTCAAATATATATTGCTATCAATAAAACCCCTTTGTTCTACAGCTTTGGTCATAAGGACCAGGGCTCAGATAGAAAAGACACCCACAAGCCAATGTCTCCCTGTGCAATCCTTGGCAGGTTAGATTGCAGAAAGAAGGGAAACTTTAAGATGACTGTTTTAAAAAACAGCTCTTGGGAAGATGTAGCAGCATTCAATTATTAATGCAGGAAGCTAAGGAAGCAAAGAGTGAAAGCAGGAGACTTGTTTCTCCATAACTGATGGCATCAGAAACACTGTGTAAAACACTTAATTGGCAATTAAGATTTTGACATTTACTGATTGAAGCTGCTGATGTTCAT